TTTCCCAATTAAATTACATTTTAAAAATTCAGTAGGGAAGATCAATCTTTAAAGAAATCTGGGCTGGGTGTTGTGGCCCATGCCTGTAATCCTAGTACTCTGGGAGGCTGAAGCAGGAGGATCACTTGAGCCCAGGAGTTCAAGTTTGCAGTGAGCTATATCGGTGATTGTGCCACTGCACAGACCCTGTCTCAAAAAAAAAAAAAAAAATCCTACAATGTATCCTTTCTAAGTTTAAAAAATACCTATTTTGTAATGCAAATAAGACTCTCCATTTTTAAGAAATTACCACAAAGTTTCATAGTAGATAAATCATATTTTTTTAAAAGTGGTGACTGCCAGGAATTTAATCTGTCCTTTGGTATTATTTGAGTAGGTGTTTCCAGTCTGTCACCTCCCACTAGAATGTAGGCTCCCTGCTGCATCCTGGTACATAACATAATGGTGCCTGGTGCCCAGCAGGTGTTCATTTAGTTGAATAAGCCAATAAAGACTTTGTGAAACACAAATTTGCATTTTCTGTACTTTCACATATAGCTGTCTTCCACTTAATATTTCTCTTTATTTCTTCTTTTGGCAGCATCGAGCCTAGTGAATATCCTGGAGTTGGGGTAAAAACAAGTGGTGGAATATACATATATTTTTAAAAAGACTAAGTTTCTATTTGACTATGCCAACTAGCTAATAAATAAAAGGCTGAGAAAACTGATAATGAAAAAATAATCAGATAATGCATGAAATCATACCTTAGAAAATATCCTTTCAACAAATGCTTACGAGTACCTATGTGCCAAGCTAAATATTAACTATATACTGCAAACTGCTAACAAACTATTGTCAAGACATGCCTATGCCTCATTGCCACTTAACAAATATTTATTAGCATCTATCATACTCACTATGCTAAGCCCTAGGGATACTTCTATGAACAAGACAGATGCTATCTCTGTCCTAGATTCTGATGGAGAAAAAAAGAAAAGAAAAACCAAATAGTTAGAAATTATGATAAGGATATAAACAAAAGCCCACCAAATAGTAACAGGGGACTCCCTGGGATAAGGTGGTGGGAGAAGGCCTGTCTGAAGAAGTGACACTTACATCAAGACTTTAGAGATGAAAAGAAGCCAGCCCCTCTGGGCAATTCTGGGGAAAGAGCATACCAGAACAGCAAGTGCAAAGGCCCTGAGGTGGAGATGGGTGTCAAAGAGCAGAAAGATGGCAGTGTGGCTTAAATATAGTGAGCAAGGGGGCACAATTTGAAGTCATAAAGATAGGCAGAAACTAGATCACAAAGAGCTTTGAAGGCCATGGGGAAAAGTTCAGATTTCATTCCAAGTGCAATGGGAAGCCATTAAGGACTTTAAACAAGAAGCAACATGATCTGATCTGCATTTTAACAAAAATCATTCTTCTAGTTGTATGAAGAATGGATGAAAAAAAACCGAGAGGGAGAAAATAGGGAGACCAGTTTGGGTGGCTATCACAGTAATATAGGCAAGAAATGATGGTGACTTTGACTAAAAGGCTAGGAGTGGAGATAGCAAAAAAAGATCAATTCCAGATGCATTTTGGAGATGGGAGAACTGACTGGATGTAGGGGGATGAAGGACAGGGAAGAATCAAGGATGGACCCAGCGTTCTGGGATGAGCAATTAGATGTATGGTGGTGCCATTTACTGAAATGGGAGGTACAAATTAGTGAGATTTATTCTCCATATACTGTGTGCTCATTCCTACCTAAGGGTTACCAAAGACATTTCAATTGCTAAATTCAGTGATTCCTTAGCACATCTCTCTTTATCTGACCACATTAACCACTTCCTCTTTCTTAAAACTTCATTCTGGCCAGGTGGGCTTGTAATCCCAGCACTTTGAGAGGCTAAAGTGGGAGTGTGAGACCAGCCTGGGCAACACAGCAAGACCCCCATCTCTACAAAAAATAAAAAAAAAAATCGGTGGCACAATGGTGTACACCTGCAGTTCCAGTTACTTGGGAGGCTGAGGTGGGAAGATCACTTGAGTCCAGGAGTTCAAGTCTTCAGTGAGCTATGATCTCACCTGGGTGACAGAGTGAGTCCCCATCTCTTAAAACAAAAAAAACCAAGTTCATTCTCTCTTGGTTTCTAAAATACCAAACTCTCTTGGTTTTTCTCTTACTCTTCGAGCCTCTTTCTCAGGTTCCATATGCCTCAGAACTCTGTCCTTGGCCCTCTGTTATGTCCTTCAATACATTTTCCCTTGATGACCGCATTCAAGTAATCCAAGCTTTAACTATTAACCACGTAAACCCTCTCAAATCTGAATTTCCAACCAGAACTTTCTCCTCACTTCCAGAACCATCTATCCAACTGTCTTCTGCCCATCTCCATTTGGATGTCTCACCAGCAACTCAACATATCCAAAAGTACCTCCATCATCTCCTTCCCCCCAATGCTCCTATTCCCCCATCTGTGAAAAGCCTCACCTTCCAAAAATATGCCCAGATGCCCAAGCCCCAAACCTATGAATCATCATATCCACCTCATCTTTCAAGCCCACATCAAATCGGTTTCCAAGCCCTATCAAATTTACTTCCTTTTTTTTTTTTTTTTAACATAAACTCAACCAAGTGGTATCAAATTTACTTTCTAACTAGCTCATGAATATGCCCTCTTCACAGCTGGCTGCTTTATTTCAGGTCTTCTTCATCCTCCCCTAGAGTATTACAATGGCCCTCTGGTTTCTCTGGCTTCAGCCTCACCCCACTCTAACCCACCCTTCACATCTCAATAGACAGAGAAATCCTTCATTGGGTTTAAGTGTGGCAGACGAGGCCCTTTGTAAATTGGTGCCTCCGGCTGGCTCTCCTGCCTCAACTCCCACCATCACCCTTATACACTTCAGCCTCCCACCACACTGAACTACCAACAGGTTCATTCACAGCTCTGTATGCACTGTTTCCTCCCCCAATGCCTACGCAGTTTAAACATCCCTTCCTATAGTATCGTGAACTTTGGTCTGAGATGACCCTTCTTCAAGCTCTCACAGCACACCTTTACTAAAAGGCTTCTAGGCCAAGCGTGGTGGTGTGTGCCTGTAGTCTTAGCTACTTGGGAGGCTGAGGCAAGAGGATTGGTGGAGCCCAGGAGTTTGAGGAGTTTGAAAGTTCGAGTTTAGCCAGAGCAACACAGTGAGAGCCCAGCTCAAAAAAAAAAAAAAAAGAAAAAAGATTTCTTATAATACTTATCACACTGTTTCTCCCCTTGAACTGTAAATTACTTGAGGATGAGGACTATCCATCCTAGACTAGTTCAGCACTTAACACTTAAAAGGTGCTTAGTAAATGTTTGCTAAATAACTGTCTGGATCAAACTCATGCTTTTCTGTAAAACATAAACTCTTATATGCAGTATCCATGACCAGAAAAAGGCAACTTGGTGAGAAGAAACATTTAATAATTTTCTAAAATTAACCAATAAAATCAGTGGCTGACTTTCACATATCAGCATTTGTCTTCATTACTTAAAAGTATGTCCAAGGTATATATGGCTATTACTCTGGTGATCTTTTCATTAATATTTAGTTTTTAGTACCCTGAGTTTAATTAAGATCATCCTGACTGCTTGTCCTCCATAGCAATAAATGACTTCTCATGCATAATAATTCTGTCTGAACACACAGAATTTCAGATAAACCTTAATTTTAGGCTATTTGCTACTTGTTTGATTAAACACAAATACCACCAACAACCAAAAAAAAAAAAAAACCTTTTAATCTTTTTTCTCAGAAGAGACATTAATACAGAATGGATTATGTCATATATAAAAAGTGTGTTTTCATCTGTCAACTCCTGGAGGGTGGGAGGATTTTACTTTATATTTTATAGACCTTGTAATCATTGGTTAAATGGAACAGCTGGTGATCCAACAGAACTTCGTCTATTTTCTCTGGTCCCAAAGATTACATTCAGAACTTTTCCACGAAAGAAACTACTGAGTAAACTCTGGTATTCAGATACTGTGATGCAACTGACATTGTGAAAACAAAAGAAATGAAAACACCTATGTGGTTTCTGAGCAGCTGGCTCTCTTTATAACCATTACTTAACCAATTCTGAGACACCAATAAGTACTTTGCTTTGAAGAACAACAACACACAAAAAAAGTCCTGTGGCAGACACCACTTCAGATGTTCATAAAACAACTCAACCAATTCACATAAATCGAGCCTGAGGTTTACTTTAAGCTTGAGCCATGAAATTTCGTAATGAAAAAAAGAGATTTTTTTTTCCTTAGGAAAATTATGCTTTTCAATGTTTTGTGTCTTGTTAAAATTACAGTAGGTATGTCTGGAATTATTATGGATTGGATAAAATTCTTTTAAGCCTGATCATCTTACTGGTATTCCTAGCTCTTTGCATTGTAACCCAGAAGGAACAAATTTTTTCTTGGTGCTCTGCAGACCACAGAGACGAGGCAAATGAAATTTCAGGACTCTTCTATCACGGAGGTTTAAAAATGGATTTGAGAGCACTGGAAATAGAACTAACAAGGTAAAAACAAATCACAGGCTTAAAGCGGAGAAACGAACCAACAAAGGCCCCACGTATGAAAAACCTGCAACCTTCCGCCACCTCCCCAAGGTGGAGAACGCCAAACCGCGGTTCCAGAGTCAGAATCCCGGGAGGGCCTGGGCGAGTCACCACGAGGAGTGGCAGGGGACGCTGCGTGGCGTAACTCAGCCGCCCGCCGGGCCGCTCCCCGGGACAGCCCCCCAGGAAGGAGCAAGGTAGGGAGCTCCCCTCCTCCGCCACAGCCAGGGATCCAGGAAGGAGAAGAAAGGCTCTGCGCCTCCCCGGCAGTCGCTGGGGCCCGCGTTCCCCAGGGTTCCCTCGGCCCCAAGGCGCGCAGGCCGCGCCCCCTCCCCACCTCGCCGCCCACCGCGCGCGCCAGGCCCGCGACCGCCGCGAGGGGCGTGTGCCGGCCCCGGGAGCCCCCCGCCCCGGCCCCAGCATCACTCACAGAGCCCGAGCGCCGCCGCCAGCACCGACCACAGCCAGCGTCTGCGGTCTGGGGCTGCAATCACTGCCCCGGCTCCGGCGGGCGCTGCCATCGTTCTCCCGCTGCCGCCGCCGCTGCCGCCGCCACGCCCTGGGCCCCGGTCCGCACCGAGGTTGGTTCGTCTGGGGCAGAGGGCGCTGAGCTCGCAGCCCCCGCGCCGGGCAGCAGCTCCACGCCGCACTCCCCACTCCCGGCCCCAGCCGCGGCTCGCCAGCTCTCCGCCCAGCCTCGGCCCCGCGCCGGCCCCAGTTGCCCGCTCATTGGCGTGCCTAGCGCCCTTTAAGGAACGCGATTGGAGGGACCGAGTGTCCATCACCCTCTTTCGGGCGGGCCCCGCCTTCCCGGTCCCACCCCAGCGCCTTAGCCTCGCGCTGGAGGCCGAGTCCGAGCCGCCCCAGGCGGTCGCGGCCGAGCCTTCTGCCTGCCTGCGTGGCTGTCCGCCTGCCCGCGCCTTCTCTGCCTCTCTGGGGGACGGGCCCACAGTCCTCTTCATTGTCTCTCCTCGCCACGGGGCTTTGCCGGTACTGACCTCGCCTCTATTTCAGCTCTTCTCGATTTCTCCCGGCCTCGCCTAACAAAATAGAAGCAGTTCATTTACCTTTAAAAAAAAAAGACAGGAAAAAAAGAGGAGTTCGATGGATGGGAAGAGACTTCTGATTCAGTTGTCCAGGTGGAACACATGTCCCCCTTGTCCTGTCCCTAGAGCCTGTCCTCTGTCTGGACTAGATAATTTATGGGTTGCAGTTAGAGAAATCTGCTAGTTTAAAAAGAAGTCTCTATCTTGCCGTAACCTCTTCTTAGAAACCCCCCTTTTGGCTTGAGAAGGGGTGGGAACTTGGAACTCTCTCTTACTACCTAGAACACAAATGAATGTGCTTTTTGTTTGTTTTGTTTTTGCATGTTCCTCTCTATGTGTCAATAAAAATTGGGATGGGGTTAAGTTCCTCACCTTGATTCCTAAGTGCCTTTGCTGACCCTTCTCAACTCGCCACCTTGGCCCAGAACAGAGGCTGCCACATAGTGGTTGCCTGATAAATACCAAAAAAATATTTGGAAGGATCCTTATGAAAATAGCCTACAAAAGGGAAAAATGGAGGGACACGCACATGAGAAAGAAGAGCGTGAAAAAAGAAAAGGGAAGGAGGGAAACAAATTTTAGACAATTAGGACAAGAGAGGAGGAAGAGTGTGATTAGAGTGTGATTAGAGAACCCAAAAGGCAACGTCTCACTTCAGGGTTTTGACTAAAGCCAATCTTACCAACACCCTTCCTGATATCTTTGCTGTTTTAGCCTACTAGCCTTGTAGTACAGCAAACTCGTAGTAATTACTTTAACATTAGTGAGAGAAGACTAAAAAAGCATACCAGAACCATTTTGCCCTATTTCTGTCAGCAAGATCCTTTTGTAGTGTGTCTGGAATGCCATGGGTTGGAAAGGATACCAATGCATTCATTGAACTGTGACTCTCAAGAAGTACGTAGTCTACCAGTGTAGGCAAACAAGTACTCAATTAAATTTGTTGAAATACTTAACGAGAAGAGTGAATAAAGGAGAAGCCCAAAGCCAACAGGGGCAGTAGTTCTCAGACACATTTGGTGTTACAAGCTTTTCTGCTGATTGTGACATACCTCACCAAACACATGAAACTCTCCCAAAAACCCCTGGTCCAAGAGGCTTCTGGGAAAGATTCACAGAGAATGTAACATTTGAGTTGGATTTTAAAGGATGAATAAAAGTTTACCAGGGAGAAACAGAAAAGGCAAACTCAGAGAAACAGGAAAACATCTACCAGGTGCGAGAACCAGTAGGTAAATCTTGTGTAGTTTGGAACTTCAGGGGAGTGAGAGAAAGAGGGGAAAGAGAGAATGCTAGATAAGTAGGCTGTGGTCATATTTCGAAGAACCTTGAGTTGTCCTTATTCCATAGGCAGTGAAGAGTGATAAATCTGGATTTGTGTTTTTAAAAGGTAGCCCCTGAAACAGGGCAAGACTGAAGAGAGCACAAAGCAGTGGGAGTGGAGAGGAAGACAAGGATTTGAGAGATTTCAGAAAAAGAATGACAGGACTGGGTATAAACTGGTTGGAAAGTATAATCAAGAGAAGAAGAGTCTCAATTTCTAGCCTGTCTATCCTTGTCTTTAAGATCTGTTGCCAGAAGAAAATTGGAATGCTGTGATCTGTGTGTGGGTGGTGATAGCAAGACATTCCAGGAACACTGAGAATTTGAATCTTAATGGATGACAATCAGATACGGTCAAAGATGAATCCCAGGTCACCCTCAGAAAGACTTGCCTGAAGTCAAATCAATTTCATTAACAATTCTACAGAAAAATATATCTTAATCCAGGAGAAGCATTTTTGCTAGAAAATTTTTTGAAAATCTGAAAGTTAGAGTTCTAGTGACTCCCTCCCCTGGGCACAGGGTCACTAAATTGGTGGAAAAAGAGTAATAGGGCACTTAGGGAGGTGTTAATTCTTATAGGAGAAGGATATGTCACCAGGCTTCTTCATTCACTGTAGCCAGGATACAATTTTCCTTAAGATTCTCTGTCTCCCTGTGCCTTGCAACCATCTATGTACTATGTCTGCTTTACAAGGACCTAATTCTAGGGAAGGATGTGCCCTGGACAGATGTCACAGGCATTCCTTCTACCAAGATAGTGTTATTTCCCACTGTAAATTAGGCAATTGATACTCTGAGTTTTGTTGCTATCAGTCTTCCTGCATCATTGTGAGGGGCAAATGAGATACTCTAGTCTAGTGCCTAGCCTGCAGAGTGAAAGACAAACTCATTTTCAATCACTAGAGAGAAGTAGAAGTAAAAACAAACAAACAAAAATCCCCCCAAACCTAAAAGGATAATAGCTACAGTAAATTCAAATGAGAAAGGAGAGCATAGAGATCTTTTAACTTGAGAGTGAGGCTTTCGGAAATCTGAAGTGGTTACATTATTTTACCTAACTAGTTATATTTTGGGGAGAGTATGTTAGGTGTCCAGGGCACATTTTTTTCCCAGTTAGGTTTTGATGGCCTGGCATCTAGAACTTATTAATATTTTAAAGGGTATTCTTATTCTTATTGCCTTGAGCCCTAAGAAGAACTGAAGACTCAAGTTAGGGCAGTTTCAAATAAAACAAAAGAAAGGTGGCGACAATGTTAGAGCTCCAAAACTATAATCTTCTGGTGTCAAACCATAGGAAGAAAATTGGCAGTTCAGTGCCTGGCATGTAGTATTAATACTTGCTAAATGTTTGTTGAAGAATGAGCAATGAAGGAATGAATAAACTAATGAATGAATGAATCACATATGAAATAAAACAAATGAATAGGTCTATTTAGGATAGTCATGCAGTCTATTTTGTCAAAGTACCAACATTTGTATTGTTAAGGAATTTGGGACAAATTGCAGTTATTAAGAATTATCCACTGAGCGCCAGCTTTGCTATGGTAAGCCTCAATGCTGAGTATTTAAAATGTAATTAAGAAGCCATGCCTTCTTTATCTAATTAAACATATTGGGACAATTGGACAGCAATTACACAATTGGTTGCCAATTATACCGTAGAATTCGATATTGGTGCAAGTGTCTTGCGCTCCAAGAAAGGATCTTTTTCTGGGAAGGATGGAGTTTGGGATTTATCCAAAAGCAAATAGGTTTTCCTGCTGAAGAGAACAGTTAGGGTAAAAACACACAGATGGGAATTCACAAGGCTAGAAAGGTGGGGCTTTGAACACTGGAATAAAAATTATCGATAAGAAACCGCCACTTTTGCCATTATTGAAAAATGCGGAAGAGGACGAAAGCGACATCCAGAACTTAGTAAGGGAGAGAGCCTGGAATCTGCCACAGCGACATTGCCGCACACTCGTTGCAATTTATTAGCCATGAATATGAATAGCATTACGCATTTCGAAATGAGGCCAGTATTACACTGGTAATGAAACGGTTGCTTTCTTCTATGTTACTGATTTTCAAAAAGCAAAACAGAAAAGAAAGAAAATTGAAAACTAAATATCCATAGAACGCAAACGCAACCAGAGGATATAAATACAACATAGAAACAACCACTTGGAGGCGCAGGACTAAGTAGCTCAACATTCCTTTATAATGGCAGGAAAGCGGTAAGTATGTCGGCTCGTTGGTCTAGGGGTATGATTCTCGCTTAGGGTGCGAGAGGTCCCGGGTTCAAATCCCGGACGAGCCCTCCTTTTTCTCATCCAACTTCGAAGTGGGTTATTTTCAGGATACACGAGTGAACGTAATAAATATTCATACAAATTAGAGTGCAACACGGAGACTTTTTAAACTTACAGCACGTTTTACATTCAAATAAGATTAAAAAGTCTAACGTGAGAATGAACTGTACTGCAGAAACGTCGTCCGCACGCCTGCCTATTCCCGGACGGAGCGCGCGTTCAGGGTGTGTTCTTCGTCGCCTATAGCGTGGTTTAAAGGCACCCACGCCAGTGCGCGTCCGCGGGCACAGCCGGGCTGGGGGCGTCTGCTGCATGAGGAAGGCGCGCCCCTTCCCTCGGAAACGCTCATTCCCCTATTCCGGGACCTGCTAATCCATGACGCCCGCTGTTGGACTTTGAAGGCGTTAGAGGGGTGCTCAGGATTCCGCACTAGACGTCTGCATTTCAAGAGCCTGTGTTTTAAATGGTACAACGCAATTTTAATGCCTTGCACTCGGACGTACAGTAATCATGTGTTGTATTAATTAAGCTCATTTGGTGACTTGCTTCCAAAAATTCAGAGGATCGACAGTCGAGCTGATGGGAGCAGAATAGTCTTTGAATGGGATGTCTCAGAAAATAATATTTAAAATTGCATGTGAAGGAGAAAAAGCCTGGGCTCGTCCGGGATTTGAACCCGGGACCTCTCGCACCCGAAGCGAGAATCATACCCCTAGACCAACGAGCCGCTCTCGGGCAAAGCGCTCCCCGCTTTTGTCTTCAGCCTGGCCGCGCCTGTCGCCGCACTTCCTGACGTCCCCAGCGCGCGACCCTTCCCTTACTGCGTGGGCCTCTCACTCTCAGAGCCCGGGGTCGGAACCCTCCCCGCCATGCCAAGGAAGAGCAGGGAGGCACGCGCATTTGCCCAGCAGGGCCGCTCGGATCACCCCATCGCCGGGCTCCACGCTCGCGCACGCTCCCGCACGCTCCCGGAAGCCGCCTTCCCGCGCCCGGGATCTCCCGCCGCCATTCCTCG